ATTTACGGAGAAGAAGATCAGGTTTTGTGGCAGGAAGGGCCATGGGGACAATGGCTTGGAAGAATGAAAGTGTGAAGGGGGGAAAAGCTTTTCATTTCTGAATGAAACCTGTCTTTTCAACTCCCCGCATTAAGCAAGGGTGGAGTAGGATGAGAGCAGTGGAGAGGAAGCAACGCTCTGGTAGAGTTAAGTTTAGTTAACTTGCAGATGTTAGTAAACACAATGTAGTATTCCTGACATGGAGTGAGGCCTGGTGTGTCCTAAGGAATAAGGGCAGATGAGTTTGTTAAAAGCCTTACTGGAGCGATTCCTGTTATCAGAAGAGTGCCCTTCTCCTTGTGAACTGGCTGCTTCGTCAAACAGGCAGCTTCTTTTGTTGTGAGATGGGGCTGAGACAGGATTGTCTTTGTGAGATACATACAAGCTCATCCCCGTGGTGGCGTTTGCGGGAAGCGGTCATTTGAATTCATACTCTTCCACGGTTACTCATGTGAAGAATATCAGAGACAAAGCACTGTATTCTCCACGGGAGGAAACACTGTCCCTGGTCTAACGCATCTGTCGGCTTTGGCAAAGTTTGGTGCTGCGTTTTTAAGGGCATTAACTGAGGTGAGCACTAAAAAAAAAAAAAGGTTGTTAGGATTGCCAGCTTTCCCCACACAGGGTTAAAAATTAACTCTATCTCACAGAGTTCTTATCCTGCCACTTGTATACTCATATCTGTTGCTTAGTTCTGATCTTTTTCCAAGAACAGCTGGCAAATAAAAGAAATAGGGGAGGACGCAGGCCAATTTTCATTGAATAGGGAAGTTTGCGCAAAGATTGCACGAAACTTTACTAATTCTTTCATGCCTGCCTCTCCTATTAGGTTAGGGATGCGAACAGTATTTTGCAAATAACATTAGTTTGTGTTCTTATGCTGTAAAAAGCAAATACCCCCAGAGCAGAAGGGTGTCCCCATGAAAGAGCTTTGCTGTAAGGAGTCCCTAACTCTAAACATGATACTCTTCTGCCAAGGATTCACAAAATATGTGAATGTTTTCATGCACTTCATCTATTTGCTCTCTTCTGCTATGCTGTGATACTGTGGATTTATTTGTCTGAATGCGTATTTCCTGTAAGATGCATTTTATTATTGAATATTTATACACTTCAAAACAACGTTTGTGTATATGAGCACATGGGTAATCCAGCATAGATTTGCAGCATGGTGTCCTGTTTAGAATATTTAAAAAAATTAAAAAAAAATTCCTCCAAAAATGTGTTTTTGTAATTGAAAGGTGAAGTTTTGTTGGTGCAGAAAACAAAGGGGCAAGGTTAATTTCACTTCCTGGAATGGAACCAAGCTTCAGAACTCCGAATGGAAACCTTAGCTAACATTCAGCCTGTGTCTGCCTTTCATTTTTAACCTTCCTGTTTAATGTAGTCCAGTGTATAATTTTTACCAGTCACGTGTCTTTTCATGCAGTGTTGTAGCACAAAGGGTTGAGCTGCCCAGTAAAAGCCCGTCGGTGAGCATGACAGAAGAGTCACTCTTGTCTTATTTGTAATTTACCTTGTATCTAGCAAACAGTTCTTTGGTTTTGTGGATTTGTAACTTTAGGTACCTGCATGGTACAAAATGAAAAGAGCTGGCAGCACAGCTGCAGCAGATGCCACTGGTGCAATGTTTCCTGCAACAACAAAGTACGAAATGCTTTTTCCAGACAGTTACCGGAATGAAATTATTTAGCTAAATCAGTGGCGTTGTGGTCTTGAGAGGCAGAGACTGCCTTTTCCCAGTTCTTCCCTCATCTTTGCCGTGAGGTTTGTGTTCAGTGTTCTTTTTGTTTATAGCCAACTGTGTGACCAAGTGAGTTGTTTTTTTCCAGAAGCGTGCCTTGTGGTTGTCAGTGTCTGCTTTTATGAGGCAAAACTTGGTCATGTTACGCAAACGAATAGCACGGTTAAAGTTGTTGTGACTCATGAATGTAGGATTTGTCTCAGTGTCCTCACTTGCCTGTTTAGTTTCGTAGCGTGTTAGAGCAGGTACAGAATTGTGGGCACTGAGTAATTAAAAGTCTTATGATACCAGTGGGGGCCGTGGGATGAAGTGTCCTTGTTTGGAGTGGCTAGAGCAGAGCAGTTATGTGAACGTGGATTATTTCTGTAGACAGCAGAAAGTAGCAGATCTTCGTTTCCAATGAATTTGTTTTCCAGATCCAACTTACTTTTTAACCAAATCACCCCAAGTCAGCAGTGTGAGCTCTGCTAAAAATGCCCTTGGATGGGGAGTGGATGCTCTGGTGTCAGGCTCTAAGGGAGGTCTTGCTGAAGAGACACCATTTTTGTCAATGAAGAGAAACTCTGTTCTTGGACTTCCTCCCAGCTCCCTCTTCTGATTGCCGATGGGGGGAAGTGTAGTATTCCGTGGACTTCTATCTTCTGTCAAGGTTGGCTGAAATTGACCAATGAGTTAAAAACAAATTAAGCTGCTGGAGATGGAGACATGCCTACAGTAGCACAAAGATAAATTCTATGAAATCAGATTTAAAGTAGGTCATTGCACCTTCCCCACTCACCAGTTTAATTACAGTAATTACATTTTGTTTACTGTTTTGTGTTCTTGCTCCTCTTCAGGTAAATCTTTTCTTGTAAGTGGGCTGTTTCTTTTCTGCCTCTTCCTGTAATCTCCAGGATATCCTCCTCTGTAAAGAAGATTGTCACCCCCACACCACTGCTTGTGCCAACAGGAGAGGGAGCAGCCATCCTCAGACCTCGGCAGGCAGGAGGGCCTGGGAGCGCTAGGAGGGACTAGTGACATGCCTGGCCTCACCGCCTCTGCGGCACGCTGTGCCAGGTCCTTAGTATGACCGTGCTAATGTCACGGCAGCTTGGCAGTTTTGGGCAAGTTAATGCTGTTGACCTTAGTCAAATGCTATTATATAAAAGGTAACGATGCATCAACTAGAAAGCTTTTGACCCTATGGCAGGTCACTTGTGTCTGGCACATCTATCGTGCTGGTTTTGCACAGCAACTTTTTACAGGTGTACCAAGTAGGATGGGAAATGCTGAAGAAACAACATTGTGCTCGAAGGAATTCTGGGCAATATGTTTTGTGATCAGGAAGGACTAGATCAGGTGTTTACAGACGC